TGCAAAATAAAGCCATATGGTCATGGTCATACCGATCGATAAAGCAATTCCAACAACGATCCGGAAGTATTCGAAATCGAAAAAAGTCGAAAAATCGTGAAATCTTAGAAAATGCTCTACTATTTTTTATTTTTATTTTAACAGGTTTTCTAAAAAAAAGAGGTTATACATTCAGATAGCTGACCTAATTACGATTCTAACGATGTATAATATATATAGAGTTATTGAAATTTAATTCTCGATATTTTGACATTTTTGTCGAAAACGACAACTACGACGTTTCTTACTCAAGTCCTATCGGTTGTCTAGGGTGTGAATCCATAAATAAAAGCATTGAAATAGGACCTCCCATCTTTGTAAAAAAGTTGAAAAAAGGTTGATCTTGCGAAAAAAGTGATTACCAAACCAGATTTCACCGAATCAAAACAACTAAATTGTCATGGACGATATTATGGCATCTAAATGGTACAAATTCGATGCTTAAGGCAATAGATTATTGGACGCTGAAAATCTAGTATTTTCCTTTTCGGAGCCTATTCAGACGCTTTTATCCCGAAAACTACTCTTAATTTTTTTTTCTTAAACTTCTGCTTAACGGTGGTCTAGAGTGTGAATCCAAAGTTAAAGGCCTCAATATGATATAAAGGGTCCAAAAAGGGCCCCAATCTTTGAAAAAAGTCGAAAATCGTTAAATTATTGGAAATGCTCTTCTATTTTTCTTTAAACTGTTCAATGGATTTTTCTGAAACTTCTGGTACAGAAAGTTAAGTTAACATACAGCTTGTTAAATCTATCCCGACAATGATCTGCATACCGAAAGTAGTCGAAAAAATATTCGATATTTTGACCAAAAAAACAAACAGTAAAAAATGGGTGCTCTTGCGAAAATCGTGCTTTCACCGTCGGGTATGACCTGATCAAAACAACTAAAGTATCGTTTGGTAGGTCGGTGAATGGACTATTGCATGACACTCTTCCTGTCTGATTTCTGAAAGCCGGTTCAGTGCTGCTTGCAGGCCTAGTTATTATTATTTTATTGTTCTTCTTTTATTTTGATTAGATCTCAACAACTGCTTGTCGCATCGTTACGAAGTCTTCGGTTTCACAGGGAAAGTGGGTGTGACTTAGAGGATAAAGCTATTTTAAGCGTTCTGCGACAATGCGAAATGTCCGAAATCACCTAAGTTGTCGTTTTTAAATATATTGCCTTAATTTTAACAATAACGGTCGGAATTAACTTTCAAAACACACAGATTTTTAAGAAGAATATTCATCTATGGCAAGGCTTGGGGGCAAATTTTATGGAACTTTTCGCCACAAGAGTTCCACAAGATATTAGGTTTCTGAAAATAAATACATTCCATAAGATTTTCTACTTAAAATAATATTGTAGCCCAAAATGGAAATTTCTTGGATTCTGATTGGTCGAAAAGTGGCGTCGAATGAGTATAACAGTACTCTAAACTGCGAATGAATATTTTCTGGGTGCTAGACTCTGTTTGGAGTGGCCAAAAATTCTACACCTTAAAACTTTATTCTAGGAAATCTTCATGAATTTTTTCTTGTATGTCATCAACAATGAAATTCAACCATTGGCTTATTGAAACACACACCTGAAACACAAAAAAACAAAGTTAGTGAGTGTATTTAAAAGATAATAAGTAAATTTAATTTTTAAATATTTTTGGCTACAATATCGATAAACACCTCCTGTTTAGAATTTATCGGACTGTTATTGTCCATTTAATACCGCTTAAATTTTTCATTAGAAACGCTCGATCGCTACGCGATCTCGGCCTCTAATGATTTAAGCGGTATCAAATGGACAATAACAGTCCTCTAAATTCTAAACAGTCGGTGTTTATCTCCTAATTCATAGAGTGTTTTAGGTCTGTGGTGTTTTTCACCACAAGAGTTCCACAAGATATTGGACTTTTTTTCTTCAAAAATTGCTTCTCAGACCTCCCTATATGCCTGTGTGGTACCACATTCCACAAGATTTTCGATTTAAAATAATTTTGATACAGACCCCCTATATGCCTATGAAAATTTTTGATAATATTGATATTTTTTCTATGTCCAATTTCTTGTGGAAGTTTTGTGGTAAAAAAAAACAGAAAAAATATCAATATTTTCAAAAATTTCTTCTCAGACCCCCTATATGCCTATGAAAATTTTGTGGAATGTGGTGCCACACAGGCATATTGGGGCTCTGAAAAGAAATTTTTGAAAGAAAATAATGTTTTTTTTCTAAGTCCAATATATTGTGGAACTCTTGTGGTGAAAAACTCCACAGAATAATATATTGTAGAATATATTTCCCCCACATCTTACAAGATGATTGGATAAACTATTATTGTTCCAGCAAAATAAAAAGAAAATGTTTCATAAAGTGTTCATGGTCCACTTTTCCAAAATCCCCCCAAACCTTGGACAGATTGTCATTGCGTTCTATATATTTTGTAAAATGTGCATAATATTGGTTGAGGATATTAAACATGAGTGATGATAGATACTCAAAAAGATGCAATTGAATATAGTTTAAATCACAAGAAGCAGGATGAACCACTAGTGCATCTAAGATTAGAGAATTAGTCTGTAATTTTGGTTTTCATCATGCTTGGCTTCAACAAACTTTTCCTAATAGAATTTGAACAAAGGGTTAAAAACAACATGCTACAATTTCGGTATTCTTTTAATGAACCCTTTTCAAAGTTCGAATATTACTATTTTGTCAACGAACAATTAGAACCAGAAACTATCTATCATTTGTAAAATCAAAACAGTATAGGACTGTAGACTTCTGTTGTCCAGAAATAATCTGGCAACAGAAAAAGGGAGACAATTTTGTATAGTGAGGCAAGAAAGATTTCTGTACATATTGTTTTCATTTTGAAAATATTAGTGTTGTACACTGTTGTTGGAACTGCAGTTTACTTTTTCAAAAATTTTATACTAATATATTCGCAATGAAATTAACTTACATTGCATATCTAATCAGAATTTATTGAGCCTTTGAAGAAAAATAACAGAAATCTTCCAGAATGTATGTAAATTTGTATATCTTGCATTCTGTAGAGAGAGAAAATGGGATTTAACGTCCACTCGACACAAACTGGACAAGTGACCCTACTCACGTACAGCCGGAGATTCGAAGCCACGCCAGTTGACCCAATGACGGGCCTTATGATACAGCGCGCACGTGCTAAACATTCGACCCCCCCCCCTTGCATTCTGTAGGAAAGATGTGTTTATTAAAAGTTTATGAAAATATTGTTACGTATATTTGTTGGATGGATGCATGTTGAAGTCATATAAATTGAACTAAGTGCCTCAGATCTTGATATTTATCTTTTTATCAGAATGAATATTTGTAACCGGTTGTCAATGAATTAAATCCATTCTATGTTTATACATGTATTGTATTGTTATATATCTTTGACCTAGTATAAATATACACATACACAAGTTTCCTTACAGCTCGATTACTGTCCTCCGCTTGTAATAAAGAAGTGAATCCGTATTTTTTTTTTTTTTTAGCTAAGTTAACAATTATGTTATAACTCTTCTATTTATTATCAAAACACTCTGAATTTTGAAAGTGTTTCGATCTAGATCTTTGTCTGATGAAAAATTCTAAAGAGTTTTAGAATATTATAACAAGAAATCTGTTCTTTATTGCGTTAACAAGATTTAAAGTCCGGACGTAAATGAGGAAATAAATCTGGATTTGATAGGGTTATTCCTGTTGACCAAATAAACAATTTCTGTAAATTTTAATAAAAGCCGACAGGAACTGTAGTTTACAGAGAGTGCTGACAAGAAAAAGTTGAATGGGGTGCTACGGTTTACTGCTTTGTTTTAATAAATTAATCACCCCACAATCAATCAATTAAAATGTGAACAGACAGACAAAAACCAACCCATAACAAGCATCAACTGCATTACTAGTTATAACCCCATAATTAACCGTATAATGCATGTCCATATGCGTAAGATCAGACTTAAATATATCTCTTATTATCATGGGATCAGTTTGTTCTATTATAATTATATGCTGGGTGTAAGCTGACTTATCAATTCTTTCTATACATAATGTATCGCTTGAATAATTACCATTATCATTCTATTTAACTGATATAATTACAATCCCAATGCACAGATTAACAATAGGAAGTTACAAATATAACAGATATGCATGGTTGAATGTGATAGTTAATTTGTATATAATAAACCATATTATTAGTTTCTGAGGAATCAATAAACAATTCCAGGAATTGAGATACAACCAGGGATCCTTGTCTTTGTGTTTTTAAAACGGCTTAATAATTTGAGCTTAATAAAACAGAGACAGTGAAACATAAACCAAACAAATATTTGCTTTTCGTCCTGACACATAAACAACAATAAAAAAGCAAAACCACAAATGACCGACGGAAGATTTAGGGTGCGTTTTCAAAGCTATATATTGAATTTCAGCAAGGGTTAAAATGCACAAATAAATAAATTTAAAAAAAGAGAAAGTTCTACTCTTCCTCAAAGCACAAACGCCAAAACAGTCAATGATCTAAAACTACATTTTCACGTCTTTAAACCATGGCCTTTTTAGGGTGACGGGTGTTGTGTTGTGGGTACAAATATTCTTTTTAAACACCGAATAACACTTATCGTTTGAGGAGTTCACATACCTAACAAATTTTTGTTGTACTCTTGCATTACATGTTAGATATACAACTTACAGGTTTAACTCAGCATGCTATTATTGTGAATCCTGATATCGTTACCGGTGTGCAATTCAATCTGTCGGCGGAAATTGTAGATCATACGAGGCCGCATTAATTCGAAGAGGTATCCTCGTGCTATTGAATCTTAGTGCACACGAAGTATCTTTATGATGTATTCCGGTACACCAAAGATAGTCGAGTAACAAATTAACTTTAATATAATTTCATATATCCCTTACAAGGATATCGACTAATATTTATTCTCTTCTTTTTCAGACAATGAAATAATGGAATGGTAAAACAAATACATTTCTAGAGAATACTCTTTAAACACGCAAATTTGATCTGAGGCGTAAAATTGGCTATCTGAATATGCAAATTGCGCGAAAATATTGAATATATATAAATGCAAATATTACTAATTGATTCGTGGGAATAAAAAAGGTGAAATAAAAACCAGAATAAAAAAAGAAAAAAGAAAAAAAAAACCAACAGCTGTTGCAATTCTGATGACAATGAGAATACATTCATTTTTCGGGTATGGGGAATAATAGTGAAGTTGATCATTCAAGAAACAAAAGTTATAAGAATCGTGAATTGGATATTTATAGTGTGAAATGTACTAAATGTTAATGATGTAAAAGGCTTCTGTATACACGATAACAATTACACGGTGGTATCACACCGGTGCAATTTAGTTAGCCTACTTCAATGTTATATGTCTCCTCTCTTCGATCAAAATAACACATTATCCACTGGATACAATTCTAGTCGTAAATATAACTCAAAGATTTTCAAGACTGTCATTTCATTCGCTGTCAATTGGTCGAGATGAGAGTTTAATTCCTTGGACGCAATTCATTGGCTCCCACGAATTAACTATTTCCCTTTATTGTAAGCTTGGCGATGATAGATCTATGCCTGCGTATGTTAACGTATTTCGCCAGTGAAACCCATACCATTCTGTAATCACTCACATTTGCTATACAGGTGATGTTAGAATAAGGCAACGACGGTTAAAATCGGTGTTCTGGATGTGAAGTAGTTTATAGTGCAGGAGCACACCGAAGAAGCAACGCAACCGTCTGCTATTTTTTAATTTCATGTGTTGGATGTGAATTTTTTATGTATCGTACATTATTTCCATTAACCGATGATAGTACTTCGGTGTGAATTCAATGTTCATAAATAACCTATTTAAAAAAGATTATTAAAGCTACTTGTTATCTTTTAACCTCTCTTTAAAATAATTGTATATTATCGAATTTTAACAAATGAGGATCTTTTACACGAGTGGGTTTTGAATTACGTAGCCTTTGGACTATAGTCAGTATTCAATATTTATTAACCCATTATTGTTTAATGGGGATATTATATGAGATAATCCACGCGTTACAATCATTGGTCGCTTTAATGGATAATATGCAACAAAATTGGTGTTAGTTTGTAGTAATATATCATTGTACAAGTTGATTTATACAAAGAACAACGTGTTTTACGCCCAGCGTACAATGTCAATAGGCTGATGGATAACAGTGACCGAATTTAAAAACCAAGTCAGTGGTGGAATATTGTTCAAGATCAACGTAAGGTATCACGGTATTTTAAAATGATTAACTACCAAATGTAAGACCAAAATTTGTGTGTAGATTATCAAACTACATAGTTAAGTACTGCCTTCAATTTCTAGCTTTTATTGTTTACTTTTTCTTATCTCATTGATGGAAATTGTTTCATCGTTGGTGTCGTGTGCTATCGGGAGTACCGACCATTAGCGGCAGTCGCCTGAAGAGCATCTTAGATAACCAGCCATTTTTTCTTATGTATCAGCGTCGATAAGAAGGTCTATAATGGATTATAAATGTGTACACAACACACTACAAGGATTTCTATAAATTCGATAACCCTTCAGATTCTGTTGCGTTTTTTATGAACGGTTGATGTGTAGATACATGGTCAAGTGATCTCTGGATTGGTTTAAAGTCATTTGAGTTGATAATAATTTAATCAATGAGAACATCTTTACAAATTGACTTAAGAAATTAAAGTGCGGATGCGTTAAAGTGGTTGTTAAAAGAGTTACCAGTTCTCACTTTTCATTATTGTCAACCTATTAAAGTGATCTTTGGAATATGATTAAGTAATATTATTATATAACAAGCTATTCTATCAGATTAACTCTATCATTGGCCAATGAACTTTCCCCCAGCTGTAATTTGCGTTCTTTGAACCGGTCCTTGTTGAATACGGGTAACCAATGGAGATATGCAACAATGGTGTAATAATTCAAAGATTCATTGAATAATTAATACTGGTTAGAATTATTACCAGATATCAAATTACAATCATGGGATAACGGTTGAATGGTTTAAATGCGAACTGCACCATGATGAAGTAAAACAAAGAAACTAAGTATCTTAAGAACAATAATTAGACGTCAACGACCCTCAAGATGTATGGCTTGCTCCTGGAGGCTATTGTGGAATACATCAAGAGAGAATATGGTGAAGAAATTTGGGAAGTAGTTCGAAACCGGACAAATCTTCACCAAGCAAGCTTCGCTACCCATAATATTTACAGCGAGAATACCATTAAGGAGATCGCCGAAGCCACCTCTATCATCACCGACACCCCTTTACATGAACTAATGGATGCTTTCGGGGTATCCTTTGTTCAATTTGTAGGGCAGTATGGGTACGACAGGATTCTGAAGGTCCTTGGGAGACATATGAGAGATTTTTTGAATGGTTTGGATAATCTTCATGAGTATCTTCGATTCAGTTACCCAAAACTCAAACCGCCTTCGTTTTTCTGCGAAAGTGAGAACAAAAATGGTTTGACCCTTCATTATCGCAGCAAAAGAAAAGGGTTCTTACATTACGTGAAAGGACAAATTAGGCAAGTAGGTAAAATGTTTTATAACACAAAAGTTGATATTTATGTGATCACTGAAGAAGTGGTGGATGACATGGTCCATGTTGTTTTTCGATTATTATTTGACAATAAAGCTTTCAAAGAAGGAACAGTATCATGTTCGGACAGTATAGTGAATAACATTCCACTAAATTCTGAAAGCCTTTTTGAACTCTTTCCGTTCCACATTGTGTTCAGTAGATATTTGGAAATACGGAATGTTGGATCGGGTCTTGCAGCTGTGATGCCTCGTCTAGTGGGAGCTAAATTATTTACTGTTTTTAGCATGTCTCGACCTCTCGTGGATTTTACGTGGGACGGGGTAAGTTGTTTTATTGTTTACATTTGATAAGCATGCAGCTTGAAAACCGCAAATATGGCTAACTAGCAGACTTGAATTCGCACGCAACTCTGTAATCAATCCATAAAAACATATACCATTACATCACAATTATGCAGTTTAATGCATCTGTGATAGAAAGTAAACTAAATGTAATTTCTTTTAAAGCGGACTTGAAATGTATGATGTTTTGAGCCCTGTCAGCACAATATAAGTAGGCATTTGTGGGACTAACAGGGTATTATAAAACACAATTTAGAATGGGACTGGGCCATAAATGAATCCACGTACATAAAATACAGCTATCGACAATTGCATGATGAATGAACACCACATACCGGTATATATACGCCAATTACCCAGATGTACATTCTCGGAACACCTATCTGTTGGTAGTTACATGTAAAGATATTGGAGTCCACTTTGGGGGTTTTATCTGCCTTTGATAAGATAGGAATGATTGGGTCATATTGGGACTAACATATGGGTTTCTGTGGTATTGTGTGCAATGGCAGGAAGCGTGAGAAAACTTTGCCCAGACAGTGTTGTTTCCACTTACTTTTCATCAAATTCCAGCTGTCCAAGGTTCTTGTACGTATATCTCAATGTGTAAACTGGCGAACCTAGGTTTATCGTCCTATACGAGCGATTAGGCACACATTTTCTTGTCATTTCCTGTTGCGCTATCCTTGACAAGTGGGAACCGGGATTTAAAACTCCCAGTGCTTTTCTCGACCCATCTCGGGATTTGAACCCGGGACATTCTAATCGAGATTCCTGTACCCTGACCGCAGTATCACAACCCCTCCTCGTATGACTTTGGTGAAACGTGAAATGAATAATTAATTCCAAGAGCGTTTGAATGGGTTGTGTTCAAATTAGAAGACAATCTGTCAGTTATTGGTGTTGAGATGTCTACAAGGACAGTGCTCGTGACCAATACCGGAATCTACATTCTCCATATGTCACTTTATATCCAAACTATTTTCTACTTAATTGCAAGGTTCCATAGATTTCATCCCCATGGCATCAGTGTCGGATTTACCGGCCAGTCTAATTTCACGGACAGTTGTCTTTAGGAAATCCCGTGTAAAATATAACATTGCGAAAGTTGAATCTCTAAAAGGAATGTCAGTCCAAACGTTCCGTTCAGTTCTTACGGTGATATAATGAGTTGAAAATTTGTCATCATTTCGTATTCTCTACAGACGATATAAACAGGATATGGTTACCTGTAATCTTGCTATATTGTTTAGGTGGACCTCTTTTTAATCAATTGAATACAAGCCGGGAGATTATCTACCGCTGAGATTTTGATTTTGTTTTCCTGATTATGTTAAATAATCAATCTGAGTACATTTTAAAAATAACCGATTTATTTTAACAAAAGAATAATTAACAAGTAAAGCTCATTTTATGAATCAACATTTTAAGAGTAGTCGTCATTGTGTATTACCGTCAATATACCATGCAACGTGAAACAACTGGGTGCTTACCTGAATGAATGAAAAGGGGTTTAACGTCTTACTTTTCGGAACCTACCGTGCCATAATAAGATCACAATTACTTCTGACAATTTTGTCGTTTTGGGGTTTGGATTTCGCTAACAATAATAAAAACTACCGCCTAGATAATTTAATTCTTAATCTTCTGCAAACCACAATACAAATCTACAGACGAAAAACGATTTGATAAATAAAGTTGCTCTATACATATATGTCAAGATCCATACAACGTCTTTTGCAAATGGCGCCATAGCGGAGATAAGATATGGATTGGTTCATATTTTGATAACAAATGCAATAATAATTAAATATATTGGCATTTTGTGTGGAACCCTAATAATGTAAATGGATTACAAAATAAAACAGACCCCAACTTTTGTTCAGTTGCATGTAAGTTTACATGTACTGACATTGTTTGATTCAGCTTATTACAATGCATTCATTTAATTAATCAATTTACGTTGAAACAGATCGATCAGAGAATATGGATCACCTATCAAAATAAGCAAAAGTTTTATCAGCTATTTAATGTTTTCTATGACTCAAATTTTCATTTTAACCAACTGACTGCTTCCAATAATTGAAATATAAAATAATTTAGTTATTAAAGAGACATATTTATCTCCTACAGGTGGGGTTGTTGGGCATAATGATATATGATGCTTACCATAACTTAACATGCGTCAATTTTCTATTTCATATCAATGGAATTGATTGAAAGTTATTCCTCGGGCCCATATAAGGTGATTTTTGTAACTTGTTGATTGGCAAATTTACACGCTCCAATATTGCTATTGATCTATAAATAGATATTGGAAATGGGCATCATAAAATCTTAAACGTGTGACATAATTAGTTATTTCAGTTTACTGAAATGTCATATTTCATTAGCACGTTGTTTATAGATAACCACTGTTGCGGAAAGTGAAACATCATTTCAGAAATTAAATCAACCAAATACCAGTGATAAAATTAATTGTCGGGGATGATAAAATATAATGCTTGCGACAGCAGTCTTGAATTCTTGAATGGAAATATCGGACACGCGAATCTTATGCACATGTTGGGAGATTTTGTTAGTTATTCAGACATCGACATACAAATTTTCGTGTAATGTTCCAAGGTATCCAACTTGTAAACGAAATCATCACATCGTCATATTGTATGGAACCAACTCCCTTATTTTTAACTTAAATCGTGACTTCATCATAGTAAGTGCTGACAGTCTATATTGCATACTAATAAAATAATCAACAATGTAGTCAACAATGAATATATTATATAATATGGACGTACTGAAAAATACCCAAAATATGCCTCCTTTTAATTTAAGGGCTTACTTCGCCTATTATTCATCTTTTTGGTGACACATGGGTAGTAACACTTCTACTACATACTCTGTGAGTTTCCCTTTATTAAAAGTCTGACCCTTAATGCAAGCTGCAGCATCTGAACATTTCGACGAACTGTGTGATAAAAGATAAGACCAGTTACATAATGACAACAAATCGTGCTTTTGTCTGGTATTGTTATCAATACTTGCTTTGGCCGATCTCATTTTAACTTGTTTCATTGATGTGTAGTCATGAACCACACAGCTGTTCTCGACGGAGAATACTGACCCTACAGCATATCGATCAGTTCCATGGACTGAACTGTCATTCGCATAAAGGTCATATAATTATAAAAATTATATTGACTGTCGGAAGTGCTGTTCTGTGTTTATGATATTTAATGTTTTCCGGTAATAAATAGTTCAAGTCTTTAGTTATTATCGAAGATTCTCACTGTTACAGTACCTACTTGCAGTTGTTCAAATGAAGTCGCCGACAATTTTTTTTAAACAGTATTTTTACTAATCCTTTAGAGGAATTTAGTAACTGGATAGGGCAATAAACTATTACACATACGTATGGAAGAACAATTACTAATTTATTTAGGCGACGTTTCGAAGAGTATTCTCAATGTTTTCAAGTCAGTGCAGTAACAAATTGTTGTTGTTGTTTATTACAAATTTAACATCCGATACATTAAAATATGATATTATCGACAGGTTCATTTAATTAAGTTATTTATATATGAAGGCGTAATATAATAAAAATAAGAAAATGGATAAAAACACAAAAAAAGTTCTTGTATATCAAAAAGTCACTTTAAAACACAGTTCATCTTGATGAGAGCAGGTCATCTTCCCCCTTTGTCATAATGAAAACCAGTTAAAACAGGAGGTCCAGCTGTTTGATGTTTGGTGTCATCACAGCGGATTGTAAAAAAAAAAATGACCTAGTGCTGTTACCAAAAAAACAATTTCATACGATTCGGGCGAACGAGATCTGTATACTGACATCAAAGCCTATCTAAATTCCTCATTTTTCGTCACCCAAAATTTGACGCCCTATAGCTACATCTTACATTGGGTGGGTTCAGAAAATTTATACTCACGTGAACAAGCAACCTCCCAACCTTTGATACCAAAGATAAAAAATGACCGGAATCGACTAGATAAAAACTGGACAAAGGAAACAATAACCTATGAAATTAACCTGTAATTCAGCTATTTTGGAGATAATTAACGGTAGTAGATAACAAAAAACTAACAGTTTGTTTTATCTTTTCATAATGGTGTTTACTACCAGCCCTAAAATAAATTAGTGTCTATTTTTATACGCCCACTTTTTCATGTGGACATATATTGTCGTCGCCCCTGTCCGTCCGTACGTCCGTCTATCCGTCCACAATTGTTTGTGGACACTCTACAGGTCACAATTCTTATCTGATTTTGACGATAAGATCTCGGTTCCTTTCGATATTGGCATGTATCGGATCGAAACTTCATAGATTATGGCCCCTGATTGTACGAAAAATCACGGTTTTAGCTTGTGGACATTTTTATACGCCCACTTTTTTATGTGGACGTATATTGTCGTCGCCCCTGTCCGTCCGGACGTCCGTCTATCCGTCCAGAATTGTTTGTGGACACTCTACAGGTAACAATTCTTATCTGATTTTGACGATAAGATCTCGGTTCCTTTCGATATTGGTATGTATCGGATCGAAAATTCATAGATTATGGCCCCTGATTGTACGAAAAATCACGTTTTTAGCTTGTGGACACTCTAGAGGTAAAAAAAACAAACCGTTTGAATATATCACCGTTACACCCTAATGATGGTTGAGTACGAATTTCGTTAAAATCGGGCCAAAACTGCCAGACAAAATGGCAAATAGTGTAAATATACGGTTTATGAAGGTTGTGGACCCTCTAGAGGTCACAATTTTCATCTAATTTTGATGAAACTTAAAATGCATGTTTATAACCCACGGATCTTGATTCCCGTCGATATTTGTGCATATCAGATCGTAACTTCCTGAATTATGGACCCCTGATTGTACGAAAAATCGCGTTTTAAACGGGTGGTCCCTCTAGAGGTTACATTATCCGATTTAAAAAAAAAACTTTTGAATATATGTCGGTTA